CATCTGCAAATTTAGCAACAATGTCTTCAGTTCCTTCATTTATCTATGATGGAAATAGCTGTGATCCCAATACTGCCCCATGTGAACTGCAATAGTCACCGGCTGCCAACCTGAAAAAGACCCCTTTATCCTTGCTGTCTGCCTTCTGCCAGTCAGCCAATCCTCTGTGTCAGTACCTTGCCTCTGACACCTTGGGCTCTTATTGTATTTATTGGCCTCCTGTGCTTACCTTGTCAAAGGCCATGTGAAAATCCAAATACCTGTGGATCATATCCACTGGCTCTGTTTTGTTTAACTTCTTTGTTACCTCCTCAAAGAACTCTAACATTTGTTAGGCATGACCTCCCCTTGACACAGCCGTGCTGACTTGGTACTACTTTACCATGCACTTCCAAGTACTCCTCCATCCTACTCTTAAAATCTTACCAATGATTCGGGTCAGGCTAACTGGCCTATGGTATCCTGTCTACTGCCTCCCACCCTTCTTGAACAGGAGCTTTGCGTTAGCTATTTTCTAGTTCTCTGGGGTGATTCCTGAAAGATCAACAACATGGCTTTGCAATCTCTTTCAGAACTCTGGAGTGTAATCCATCTGGTCTGCGTGATTTATCCACCTTCAGACCTATCAGCTTCCCCAGCATCTTCCCAGTGATGGCACTCAACCTCTGCCCCTGACTCTTGCAGTTTTGGTATGCCGCTGGTGTCTTCCACTGTGAAGACTGATGCAAAGTATCTATTCAGTTCCTCTGCCATTTCGTTCTTACCCATTACTTCTCCAGGCTCATTTTCCAAAGGTCCAATGGCCATTCCTATTTCTCTCTCTATATTTCTTATTAAAATAGAAAATGATTGCAGTTTTCTTTTAACTAGATTGCCCTTATAAGTCATTGCCTCATCCTTGTCCTCATCCTCCCCCACCCCTAATGTTTTTTAAAGTTGTCCTCTGCTGGTATTTAAAGGCTTCCTAATCCCTTGGTTTCCCACTGATGTTGATCATGTATAAATGCTGTTTCTTTTGCTTTATTGCTGTCCCTGATTTCCCTTGTCAGCCTTGGTTGTCTTGTCCTGGGCATAATTCCCATCAGTGTCTTTTTTTCCTTTGTGGTTCTTCAACTGTACCCACGTTGATTATACACTTTTCAACTCTATAACACTTGCTATCGATTTTAATTTCATTTCATAATAACGAGGCAACTCTGTCTGCCCTTTTTAATAGGGCGTGTAACATTGGATATTTAGTTCCCAGCCCTGATCCTCTTGCAGTCACATCTCTATCCAAAACATTGTACCTGCCAAGTTCAATCTGCGCTACCAGCTAGCTAACTTCATTTTGTCTACTGTGCATTTAAGTACAGCACCCTCAGTCCTGTGTTGACTGCCCCACTTCTTGTAGTAGTCCCCTTATCTCCTGTGCCTGAAGTTAGATCCCTAAGCCGCCCTCCCCTCCAAATTGTGCCATGCAACTGGACCACCCCTCCAAAATATTGTTGAAATCCTACTATAGCCCTCGATATGAGAGTCTCCAGGGCTCTGATTCGGGTAGAGCCCGTCCTATTGGAACAACTTTCCCAGTACCGGTGCCAGTGTTCTGTAAATTTGAACCAGTTTCTCCCACACCAATATTTGAGCTACCCATTTACCTCATTATTCGTGTTGACACTGTGCTAATTATCTCTTGGCTTAGGTAGTAATGTGGATATTATTGCCTTTGTGATAGTGCTTTATAATTTAGCCCTGAGCTGCTCATACTCCCTCAGTAGATTTCTTTGCTGTTTCTATCTATGTGAGCTATGTACAACTGGATCTTCTCTTCCCACTTCAAGTTCCTCTGCTAGTCAGATGAGAGAACCTGAGCCCGAGGTAGCAGGCAGCCAACAAACCCTTTGGGACTCTCGATCCTGGGCACAGAACAGTGTGTTCCCGTGATTATACTGTTTCGGATAGCAACTACATTTCTTATTTCTTCCTCTTAAATAGCTCCTTGTATTATGGTGATGTGGTCGGTTTGCCCGTTCCCTGTACAGCCCCTACACTTTTGCACACAGGGAGCAAAAATCTCAAATTTGTTAGACAAGCTCAAAGGCTGATGTTCTTTCAGCACTATCTCCTGGAACTGTCTACCTGCTTTGCTTGAAATCACACCTTCCTGTCCCTGTCACTGACCACTGACCCAATTCAAGGTCGTTATCTATGGGGTATGACTTCTTCATGAAAGAGCATCCAGGTAACCCTTTACCACTGCGTCACAGTATTTGAAACTCAGGTTGTGATTTGCCACTTTTCTACTCACCGGACCAGTCCACTGGTATCTTTGCTGCAATCTCACTGTCGGTCAACTTTTGTATAATCTGCAAACTTCTTCATCTTAGATTCTAGTCTAAATCATTAATTTATATACTCCAAACAACAGTGGACTCGTTACTGATCCCTGTGCAGCTCTGTTACAAACACCCTCCACTTAGAAAAACCTCCGTTGGCAATATAAAAACAAAACCCTTAGCTGCCTGCTGCTGACTCAACTTTGGATTTGTCTTGCCCTCTGTTGACTTCTGCTTTACCTTTGTGACCAGCCTGCTCTTGCATCCTTGTCAAACCTTGCTAAGATCTACGTAGACCCCACATTAGGTGTATTGCCTTCATTGAACTCTCCTTGTTACTTCCAAAAAATGCAATCAACTTGATCAGATGTGACCTCCCCATAGGCTAAGGAGGGGGAGTTTGTAGCAAGGATCAAAGCAATGACTTTGTACTTCCCTGTGAGCAGAAGGAGATTTCTGCTAGTCCATTACTGGCTTTTGAATCATGGGTCTGGCAATTTTGGAGACAAGTGGAGGGTTATTTATTCATTTGAGGGACGTGGGCGTTACTGGATTGCCAGCATTTATTGCTTCACCCAGGTGCCCTTGAAGGTGGTGGTGAGCTACCTTCTTGAACCACTGCAATCCATGTGTTGTAGGTGAACCGACAATGCTGTTAAGGAGGGAATTCCAGGAATTTGACCCAGTAACACTGAAGGAACAGCTATATCCGAGCTAGGGTAGTGAATATCATGGAGGGGAACTTGACTTGAGAGGTGGTTATGAGGTACAGTTGGGCGCAATTAGCATACAATGATGCTTTGTTTCCTGGTGGCACAGGCAGCAGTTCACAGATGAGAAATACAGGTAGTTTTCCTATAATGCGATAGTTGCGTTCTTGTGTGATCTCGTACTAGAGAAAATTGTGCCGTAGAAAATTGAAATAGCAATTTCCTTAGAATGCGATTTTCTATGGAAAATTGCTATACCTGTACAGCAGAAAGGTCGTGTTATCCAAACACGCATCAATTGCGTTAACGAAACACACGTCATAGCAGAACTACCTGTAGGGGGTGGTGGATGGATCCTTGAGAGGACACGAGTAATGACGGGGGGTGCATGAATAAAATCTTACTGTCATAAAGGTTTAACGACAGAAAGTAGTCCTTTGGCCAACATGTCTGAGCTGGTCATCGAACAGCCGTCTATGCTAATAGTATTTTCCAACACTTGGCCCATAGCATTGTAAGCTGTGATATTTCAAATGTTCATTTAATTTGTTCTTAGTTCTCTTGTGGGTCCATGCCTCTACCGCACTTCTCAGGCAGTGAGTTCCAGATACCCATAATTTTCTGGGTGGTTTTTCTTTTCCTCTGATACCCTCTAAACATTATGACTGTGTCCCCTGATTACTGACCCCTTCAACTGAAGAGGAAAGCTTCTCCCTATCTACTTTATCTATGCCCATTAGAATCTTGTAGAACTCAATTAGTTCTCTTGCTTACTCCCACCTCAGCCTTCTCTATTCTCAGGAAAACAAAACCAGTCTCTCCAGTCTCTCTCCATAGCTGAATCGTTCCTGCTCAGGCAATATTCTCTTCTGCACCCTCTCTGGTATAGTGTGGTGATTAGAACACGGACACAGTACTCCGGTTGTGGCCTGACTGGTTACATGCAGCTCCATTAGAACCTCTTTGCTCTTGTATTCAATGTTTTGATTAATAAAAACAGTTGTCCCTTATGCCGTCATGGCCACCTTTATCTTCGCTGTCCTGCTGTCTTCAAGGATCTTTAGACATACTTACCATGCCCCTCAGTTGATCAGTATTTCCTAACATCCTATCATTCCACTTCTACTCCCTTGCCTGTTATCCCTCACAAAATGCAACACCTCACATTTTTTTTGGATTAATTGTCATTTGCCTCTTCATTCTGTCTAAACAGTCTGACTATCATGTACTGCTGTAGTCCTCATGTCGAAACTCCCACTGCCTTTGTCTAGATTGGGTTTGGGGTCACGTAGACCAAGTAAGAATGCCAGATTTCCTATGTAAAGGGCGTTAGTTGATCACTGGATCTTATAATTTTCTGTTTGCTGTGGTGCAATTTGAATTCAGATCCGTGAATTGCTGTTTCAGAATTCTTATACCATAGCCACTGTCCTACTGTTTTGTCCTCATATTTATGGTCAGCTTTCTTTGTGTGAGAGAGGTGTCAAAATGCTGATTCATTTTGATCCAAAAACAAACCATTTCAGTGCCAGAAGTAGATTCCCAGAAGAATTACACTAATGACTGTAGAAATTATCAGTACCAGTTCTGTTTTCCTGCAACAGCATTAACTAGACTGTCAAGATCTAGTTTTCCATCAAGCCCCTTTCTCCAGACTTTCACCCCATTTGACGTATTCTGACAGGATCCCAAACTGCATGTAGTCCGTTTCCTACCGTCTGAGTGATGAACTAACTGTTGCCAAACTTCTCCCTCTCCATTTCTTCACAACACTGGGAATTTTATCATGTGTTATGTTCCAAATTATTGTTGTTCTGAAATGAAATCTTTTACAATATGCAGTTGTAACGTGAGTATTTGGTGGTTTTGAAGATTGTTCACATTCGAAGTTTAAATATTTGCAATATTTGAAAAATCATCTGTTTTTATTCTGTGCACCATGGAAATCTGACTTTCTTGTGTCTGTTCACAGGCTGAATTGTGAACAGCAGCATGGAGGATTATGTAAAGATTGAGAAAATTGGTGAAGGTGAGCAATTTAAGTTGGATCTCTAAGCTGACTTGCAGAGTATGCAACAGAATGATACTTTGGCTAAAGTTGAAATGCCAACTGCTTATGGTATAACTTTGTTCCCTTTGTACACCAAATGCTTTAATATCATTCTGTTCTGACCCTTTGTCTGCCACTTCAAATCCTAGGGGGAAAACATACAAATCGTGTAGGCCAATAATGTCACATCAATTGATGTAAGACTTTGAATTCACTTGACACATAGTGAAATATCTTGCACTCCCATTTAACCTTCAAGCTTAGCTTAATTGTGAGGGAGACCAAGTATTCGGGTTTTTTTGAGGGTGGTGTTTTATAAATGGGACATTTAATGGAAAGAATGTGAAGCTTGGGATAGCCTTGGGCCTCATGGATAGAGGGAGGTTGTAGCAGTAGCTATTGGTTTTCATGGTAAACTTGTATAAAAACTGAACAGCACATCAATTAGTGCAATAAATAGGCAAATGTTTCTGCAACGTTTTCTGAATTCACCAATGAAGTTATTTGGAGTTTTTACAGTTTAGTTAACACGGTTCTTTTTGGTCAAGGGCAATCTACAAAAGTCATGAATTTAGTAAGAACTTCTAGGCCTGGGCAAGTCATGGCAATTTCCAAAAATGTCCAAAGTCAGTGGGAAATCAGGCAATTTTATTAAAACAGGTGAGACTTCCCCGAGTGGAATTCTAACCTTTTCCGATATTTCTCAGTGTCTGCTTATCCACACCATTGTTCGTTTTGCTTCACATGTCCAGAATCCAGAGCCAGTTTTGCCCACTTGTCCAATCTCATCCCTACCACCACTAAATGACTGTTTTGGAAACTGTCAGAGCAACCGCAGTCATTGGGTGACGAGCCTGTCAAATGGGGATGATGTACATTCCCAATTCCAGCTTTCTTAGCTGCATTGTGTGAAGAGAATTTTTTGATGGTGTCTGTTGCAGATGCTTCTTGTTGTGGAGGCAGGGACTTGGTAGATACTTTTTTCAGAGCATGGTAAACAAGGTAAGGAACAACAGGAACAAATACCTGAGACAACAAGGTGCAGGGCTGGATGAACACAGCAGGCCAAGCAGCA